GGGACGCTCCCCGGGGGCTAGGCCCAGCTCCTGGCTGACCCCAGGGCCTCCTCCCTAGGCATGGGGCCCTGGCAGTGGAGGGACCCTTTGTTGGACCATCTGGAGCCCTTGGCCAGGGCCAGGCCCACTGGAACTCTCCCAGGTGAGACTGCCCTGTCACCCACACCCAGACCTGGGAAGGGGGTTGGCACCATGTGCCATCTGGACACTCTCTGGTCCTTCCAACAAACTGGACTGGCCTGGGTGGTGTGGCCCTCACCTTGGGACTGCTGGGCCTTCTGAGAGGCCTATCTCTTCCATCTGGCCTGATGTTGCAGGGCCTGGTCATCTCCCTGGACAGTGCTGCCTGTCAGCCAAGGAGGGACCCTGGAGTGGCCTGGTGCCCTTGGACACAGATTGTTCTTCCCATCATGGCCCCCGGACCCTGGACACCAGGTAGTGCCCAAGGCTGTGTGTAACTCTGGGAGTTTCATGTGCAGACCTCTCCATGGTGGCCTGTCCCTCGTCTGGGGTAGCCCTTGTGTCCTGCTGGGTGTGTTGTGAACTCAGTGAGGTGTTTCTATGGGGATAGAGGTACAGCCATCACCCCTCCAGCCAGGACCCCGGCCCTACTACCCTTTGTGAGGAGGGGCCCCTACACTGGGGTTCCAGCCCGTGGTGGACTGCACACCAGCCGTTCCCTGGGGACGGTGGCCTGGTGGGGYGTGGAGCGTGTCTCTTTATCACATAGCTGTGCCTCGGCCCAGGCTAAGTGTGTGCTGCAGGGCAGTGCTGGTGTCTGAGTGGCCTTGGGGCCTGCAGGTGGCCACGGTCCCTGCATGCTGATGAAGGGCATGATTGGCGCCGTCCACACCCGAGTGCCTGGCACTGACCAGCCCCACTCTCTGACTAGCGAGGCTGCTCCTTTGAGCTGCCAAGGAGGGTGCACTCCTGGGTGGGACTTCCAGAGGACAGGGACCTCCTCTCGGCTCCGCAGCAGCCCAGGGGCGGTCAGGGGGGACGTAACAGAGGTGGAGATGCCTGTGCCCAGGGCTTTTTGGGGGGACCGACATCCATCCATCTGATGCTGGGGCCATGGTGTCACTGTGGGTCACTCTGCCCTCTGAGAGGGGACATCCATCCATCTGCCTCTGGGGCCAGGGTGTCACTGAGGGTCAGTCTGTCCTACGGGGAGGCATCTGGCCATCTCAGGCTGGGACCGGGTGTCACTCTGCCCTGTGCAGGCTATGTCCATCCATCTGACGCTGGGTCCATGGTGTCACCAAGGCTAACTGTGCCGTACGGGGTGTGTCTGTCCCAGCTGGGGCCATGGCCTCACCCTGACACTCAGTGTGGCACTCTGGGTGCCTGTGGATGGCAGGTGCTCTGGGTTTGCTGTGTCTTGACTCTGTGCCGTGCTCCCGTGGTCACAGCACCATTGGGTGTGGCCTCCTGTGAGGCTCCTCAGCGTCAGGACAGCTGCTGCCCCTGAGCCCAGAGGCCTGGAGGTTTGCCGTGCCTTTGCTCTAGGCCACCTGCCCATGCCCAACCTGGCCTTTGTCCCCAGAGCGTGGTCCCTTCCCCACTGTCAGCACTGGGTCATGGCCATCGAGGGCTGAATCCAGGGATGGCTCAGTGAGGCCCCAGGGATGGTGGCGGGCTCAGTGTTTGTCCCTCCAGTCCTCTTGGGTCAGTCGCAGTCATTCCAAGGGYGGCCCAGCCTAGCCCTGGAGGATGGTCACCGTGCAGTGGGCAGAGACCATGGGGCCAGAGGGTGGACRTGCGGCTCCCTGGAGGAGGGGCTGCCAGGGCAGGAGACCTGGGAGAGGGTGGCCAGGGCAGCTGCAGGGCTCTTCCGGGAGCTCGGGATGAGTCCCAGGCCCCCCATGAGCTGCCTGTCAATCACCTGGGATGCTCCAGGTCCCTCAGGCAGAGCACACGCCCACAGGTGGATTCCAGGCCCGTGCAAGATGGAAGCCTCCCATTCTCAACAGGTTTTGATCTGCCTTTGGTTGATAGGGRCAAAGTGGCCCAACTGGGGAGCAGGGTCAGGGCTGATGTGGCCAGTTGTGATGCAGCCCCTCGGTGGGCCTTGATCCAGTAGGACTGCTGTTGGGTAGGAAGAGGGACCCTGGAGAAGGCCCTGTGGTGAAGGACAGCCTGGCAGAAGCATAGTGGACGAAGGGCCCCGAGGACAGTGGGCAGTGCTGGGGCCTGTCGGAGGACACGGCCTCTGCTTTCAGAGTGACCACAGGAAATGCTGTCTGCCCTCGGAGCCACCAGGTCTGTGGCACTGTGTGGCAAGTAAACTGGCATCCTGTCCTGGTGCCTCCCCTAGGACACTGGCCGTAGGGACCCAGGGCAGGGGAGCCTGGGCAGAGGACCACCTGTCCACAGGCCACTCTTACCACCACAGCTCCTGAGGGACAAGGGCCCAGGTTGGTGGCTGCTGCCTGACAGCTGCCCTGAGGTCCCCCAGAGGAGGGGGCAGGATTTGGAGGGCCATTGGCTTGCACAGGTGACTGACAAGGGTGACTTGCTGGCCACTGATGCACAGGCCCAGGGGCAGGGGCAAGGGGCAGGGTCTGCTCAGCTTAGTGGTTCCCCAGTCCTGTTCCCAAGCCTTAGTTTGACCAGTCCCACAGGTAGACAGCTCCAGAGAACTGCCCAGGCCAGGCTCTGCCTGAGGAGGCAGCTGGCCATCACGCAGTGTCTGGGGTCAAGGTGGGCAGGAGGAGCAGGGCAGCCCTGAGCAGACCTGCACAGCTTAAACAGGCAGTTGGGGACAGAGCCCACGTGGCTGCCTTCTGGGGAACGCAGTGGTGGGCGCAGGGGTACATCCTGTGGATGGTGTGTGCTGCGGTGGGGCTGGTCTGCCCAGACCCTGTTCACTGCAGGCACCTGGCAGGCGCTACCTGCTGCTCCGGGGAGCGTCCCCTCATCCCCCTCCTGTGAGCTGCATCGTCTTCTCGCTGATTTATATGTTTGCTTGTTTATTCCGTCTGCTTTTTAAGGCAGGGTGCGATTTCATGACGGATAGTGTGAGTTAGAATCCGCAGCCTGCAGGGAGGCGCTGTGGCCAGGGCCTGGGGTTCTGGTGTCACGAGCCGGCCCAGCAGTGCAGTGTCGGTGGCTCACAGTCCTGGGGACACCTGGATGTGTGCATGCCTCCCAGCCTCCTGAGCCTCGTGCGCCAGCTGTGTGTGACTCATCAGCACCCTGCCTGGCTCCAGGTAGCTACATCCGGCCACCTTGGACAGCTCCCCCAAGCCCTGCCCTGCACTGTGGGCAGACCAGGCTGGGTGGCCTGTCTGGCATACCCTATAGATGCCCCTGGGCYTCCTGGGTGATGACTAGACTCAGACACTTCCTGGGTCCAGGGTTCCCTGAGCAGGTTGGGCTGTTGGGGCCCTGCCCACTGCAGCCCATGGGCATGACTGATGCCTGCTCTGGCCCAGGCCTGGGCTGGGCTGGGGACCCTGAGGGTGACGGCAAGGTGGGTACAGTGTGGCAGGAGTGAGCGTCTGCATGACGGCACCGGAGGAGCTGTGTGGTGAGGATGGCTCCCTGGTCTGCAGACCAGCCACCGGGACAGTGGGGACCACTGCTGTTCTGCCCCCTCGTCCTGCCTGCATCTGCGCCGTCCCTCCTGGGGTCAGCTCCACGGGGTTGTGATGCTCTGAGCCTCTGCCTGTGTCCCCTGTGAAGCGCTCACCTGGGTGGCTGGGATTCCGCGCAGGCATCTGCAAGGTGCTGTCTCCCCAGGCAGAGGCCGTGGGCTTGGCTGCAAGAGGGCTCAGGGCTGCAGGATCACTGTGTGCTGGTGGGCGAGAGCCAGGCCACCTGCTGGGGGCCATACGTGGGCACAGGGCGTGGGCATCTGGTGAGGGCCACAGAGCTGTGTGGGGAGGGCACCAGCTGGGCGAGGGTCACCCCGTCTCCCGGGAGGTGGCCAGTTCCATCTGACGGCCTGCGTCGAGCACCGCGCTGCCTCTGTTGGCTAGTGTGTCTCTTCAGGGCTTGCTGCTGGTGGCCGGGCTACAACTTCACAGGYAGCGAGGACCTAACAACTTCCCCTTGGAAGTCCCTGGCGGCCGCCTTCCCTCTCCTGAGACGTCTGCCTCAGCCCCAGAGAGACGTGTGTCCCTGAGGCAGGGTGCAGAAAGCACCTGGAGTAGGTGCCATTGCACGGCACGTGTCCCTAGGTTGGACCRGGCTCAGGGCCACGCCTGCCTGGAGGAGCCTGGGTGTCCCTGCAGGCATCAGTGTGGCTTGTGAGCCTGTGTGTGTCACGCTGGTGTGCACTCTGGCCTGCTCTGCGTCCACCTACCAGGGCGTGGTGTGTTGTGTCCTCATCTATGTGTGGCTGTGGGTCTGTGACACRTGACGTGCGCGCATATGTGTGGACACGCACAGGCCTTTGGGAAGGCAGCGGAACCCGGACCTCCTGGCACAGATGGCCCAGCTGGGCTCCCTGCCRTGTGGTGTGCACCCAGGTAGGGTGGTGGCTCCTGCCTGGCAGTGTGACCACTCACACAGGCTTTAGCACACCTGAGGTGTCTGACCTGCTTTCTGACCCTAAGGTGTCACGTCTTGAGGGTGGCGTGCTGGCACCTGGGGACAGAGATGGAGGGACTGGCTTGGTTTCAGGGCCCTCGCTCTGCAGTTGGAGTCCCTCCTGTCCAGTGCTGCGGGTGTGTTGGGGTGGGGAGGCAGCTGCTTCCTCCTGACTTGGCCCTTTCATTTCCGGCGTGGCTGAGACAGGGCCAGGTTTAATTTCCTGTCTGCTGTGGCAGAGCTGCCTGAAAACCAGGGTGCATACAGAGCACAGACGGCTGGGGTGGCCCAGGCCTGGATGCCAGGGCGCTCTCTGGGTGTCCTTCACAGTGTTTTAGATGTCCCCTTGGAGCCAGGTCTCCTGCCCAGAGCCCTGGCAGGCCATGGTGGTCTTCCCTATGGGTGGGCACTGTGTGGCCCTCCAGGCTGTGGCCATTCACCTGACAACTCCTTCTCTCTTGCAGGTCAGCTGGCCGCTGGCACCTGTGAGATTGTGACCCTGGACCGGGACAGCAGCCAGCCACGGAGGACCATCGCCCGGCAGACGGCTCGCTGCGCATGCAGAAAGGGGCAAATCGCAGGCACCACGAGAGCGCGGCCCGCCTGTGTGGATGGTAAGCAGCCAGGCAGCACCTCAGGGTGCTGTGCACAGCGTCACCCAGGGCCATGGTGGGAGCCAGGTGTGGCCCTCTGAGCCTGCTGTGGGGTGTGCCCCAGGCGACTCTGGCTGACCTCTAGCATGACTGCACTGTGGGCCGCTCACTGTGTGCTTCCTGAGGGCTAGGGTGGCMGGGACCAAGTCTCTGGGCCCTGGGTGTTGCCACGGGAGAGGGAAGGATGGTGGGGGTGGTCTAAGTGGCATGTGGTTGTGAGCGAGATGTCACAGTCTGCTGGGCGCCCGCTGCATCTGCACACATGTGGCTCTGGCCACGGCCGAGAGAGCACGCCGAGTCCTCGCCTCTGGTTCTGGCTGGGATCCAGCACCGTGAGCTGGACTTGGTGGAGGAGCAGAGCACCGCCCCGTGGGCTCTGCAATTGAGTGGCCGTGGCCTCCTGAGACACCCCTGCAGTTCAGCCGCCTGTGAGATGCACCCCGTTCTAATCCTTCCTGAACAGATGCTCCCGGGGGTGCTGGGCGGGGCGGGCACCCTGAGGGATCTCTGTGAACAGAACCACAGGTGGGCTTTAGGGGGAGGAGGGGCCCTGTGGCTGCCCTGGTGCCTGGGATATGGAATCTGGCCAGTGGTGGAGGAAGTCACTGTGGGTCACTGTGGGAGACTTGGTTGGGGGCAGGCARCCCGTGGTTCATCCTGAGACCTGGGAGCCCCACAGTCAGGACCTCCACCTGGGCCACAGAGAGGTCAACACCTGCTGGGTAAGACCGGGGGGCAGAAGCCAGGCACCTGAGCCAGGCTGGAACCCACCAGGGTCACCTCCTGTGGCGTGGGTGTGGGCCTGGCCAGCAGTAMCTGAGTCAGTCCAGGTGACCTCGAGGGAGTGGCCCCACTTTGGAGCTGTGGAGGGGCCTTGGTTCCAGGCACAGAATCATGACCACAGCCCAGGAAAGGGGTCAGAGAGGACAGAGTCCCCTGTGGGTGGGGCCATGAGACCACCTCCTGGAGTGCAGAGGAGCCAGGAGCCCCAGACGGTGACTGTGGACTTGGGCTGCGGGATTCCCAAGAGCCCAGGCCCGGGGCTGGGGTCCAGGTGGGGTGTGTGGCTGGGCCAGCAGGAGGCCCTGTGTGGCCAGGGCTGGGCAGAGGGGGTGGGCCTAGCACCCCCACAACCGTGGGGTRGGGCCTGTCGGGGCCTCAGGTCGCCTCTCGGGCAGCCGCTACTGTCATGCCGTGCTGGAAAGAGGCCCAGGGAGGTCAGAGATCCTGCCAGTCACTCAGCTGACGCGGCCTGGTCTTTCTGGTCTGGCTCAGGTCTCTCTTCCCCCTCAGTCTGTGCACAGGATTTGGGCCCCCGGCTCAGATTCTGCCACTTCTGCCTGGGAGCCGCGGTGCACAGCTCTCCTGTGCCCCAGGTCTGTGTGTGGGCGCAGGTTGGGTCTGTGTGTGGGCGCAGGTCGGGTCTGGGCACTGTGCTGAGAAGGCAGAAAGGAGGGCAGACTGGGGCTCCAAGGGGTGGAGGGGCTGCCCTGGGAATCAGATGCCATCACAACCTGGGAGGGTATCCCCACCAGCCGAGCAGTGTCCACTGTGACCACCTGCCTCCCCAGCTAGGGAGGGCTCTCCAGGAAGGGACCAGCAGAGCCCATGAGCAGGAGGCTGGGGGTGGGCTGACTGGATCCCCAGCCCCTTCCAGTGTCTCTCAGAGGGTGTGCTGGGACTCGCCAGAGACTCGGTCAGGTGGTGAGTCTGGCCTGGGCTGAGGCAGGGAGCTCCAGCCCCACTGGACACCTGTCAGAAGGGAGGGAGCTAGAGGGAGCAGGCCCAGCCAGGCCTCGGCCGGTTCAGGCCTTAGATCCCAGTGCGGCTTCTGGGCTGAGGCTCTGCACAGGTCTGGCTAGTGGTGTCCTCGCCTGGAGACTCCAGGGGCCCAGGACGAAGTATCCTACGGGGCTCCCTGGGCTCACCGGCCTCCTTCTGCTGTCCCTGGACCCCATGGCCACCCACATTTCTGCTTCCAGTCCAGAGAGGCACTGGGGTGTGTGGAGGGCACTCTGAGGCTGCGGGGACCAGGCTGAGCCTGTTGGCCAGTGGTGAAGTGATGCGGCACATCTGCCTGAGGCCAGYGTCCCTGGCCTCACGGAGCCGTGTCAGTTCCTGTCCACACAAGATGACCTAGTAAAAAACCTGGTGGCAGTCACTCGGATCCTGGCACTTGGCCTGCCCAGCCTACTTCCCCCAGGGGCCGCCATCTTGCTGGCAGTGAGCCGAGCGGGCTCTCGCTGCGCCCTGCACTCTCTGGCTTCCGTGACTGGAACCCATGACACATGGTGGCGAGGAGGCCTTCTTGGTTGACATTGATTGATTCTTCCCAGGACGCAGTGAGGAGACGAGGCGCTCGCGGCTCGGTTCTTCCCCTCCCTCATTACCTCCGCGTGCCTGTGGGGAGACGGGGGTCAGGATTGATTACTAATTGAATCTGCGTCTGCTCATCTGAAACCGGGTCCACGTCCCTCTCCCCGGGAGCCTCCCAGTGCCTCAGGAGCTGGGTCCCAGAGACCCAAATTAAACCCTCACCACTTTCCAGGGAGGCCAAACAAATTAGTTAGCCGGCGTTTTCTGCACAGTGGGCATTTCCAGGCTGCCATCTAATTTAATTTTTGCTTTTCTCTTTCCTCGCTCCGCGTGCATAATCAGTTTCTTTGCGTGCGACTGAGTCCGCCGAAGGAAACTCGGGCCTCGTTGGTCTGGTGGAGCTGGATGCAATCAGGGCTTCTCCCGGGGTGGCTCCTGCTGACCCGACGYGCTCTGCGAACCCAGGAGCAGGGGCTGCTGGGCAGCGCTGCGTCTCTGCACCTGTGCGCTTCCTCCTAGTTGGGTTTTCAGTTGTTTGTAAATTTGCTCGTTTGGGTAAGGACTGTGCTCCTGGGTGCGGGGGCTGTATGGGAGCTGGGCTCTCCTCATGCCCAGTCTGCAGAGCCTGGGGGCTGCGGCCAAGGGAGGCGAGGCCCTCGCTGCCTGCCCTCGGGCAGCTGCACCCTCAGTGGTGTTGAGGGGTGACGAGGAGCTGGCTGGAAGAGCTTCCCTCTGTGGAGGGCGGGGACTGGAATGAGAGGGGACCTTCAGGCCTTCGGCCTCCCTGGCCCAGTCTGTGAGTGGAAGCGTTTCCCGTGAGCCAGTCCCCAGCACCGTGACCCTGTGCACCTGCCTGAGAATCGCTCTGACTTACAGAGCTGTCAGGGAAAGGGACGTGAGAGCAAACCGGTCCCTTGCTGCTGCAGGGCTGCCCACCCTCACTGATATCACAAACAGAACTCCCCGGAGGGCTGCCTTCTCSGCCTGGCACCGTGCCAGGTGGGTGGAGGCTGCCCCTGCTGAGCTCACGACATCCGTCAGTGATCTGAGTCCCCTGTGCCGTCAGCAGGAGCACGCGTGGTCCTGAGCGCTCCTGTGGGAGTGCAGAGGCCCTTGCTGGTGCCGGTGGGACACASGGTGCCTGTTCACAGAGAGGCTCCCTCCTGTAAGCAGGGCTTTTGTGGAAATCCTCTGGGAGAAATCGGGTTGGCAGCCTGGCACCAGGTGGGGTACAGGGAGCAGAGCTGGTGGGTTTTGAAGCAGTACTTCCCAGGGCCACGGAGGGTCACAAAGGAGGCAACTGGGGGACTCCAGGCACAGGACACAGGCAGCTTTCCCTGGGAGCCTTGAGGGAGGAGGGCAGGCTGGGTTGGGGGCATCGCACGGACCTGTCAGGAGGGCTGCAGCTGGCCCTGGGACTGGAGGACGCCCAGGTCTACAGGTGGTGCCGGGAAGGTCGCACTCTCTCCTGCGCAGCCAGAGGTCTCCACCCAGGACGCTGGTGGAAGACCCAGGAGGACCTGGCTGCTGACATGACTGACCTGTGTCACCTGCCTAGATGATCGTGGGGCTTGAAACCCAAAGCAGACGTGGCCCTCCTGGTGAGCTGGGAGGCCCAGTGGTCCAGAGTTCAGGTCCAGAGCCACGGCTCCAGCTGCTCACCTGCCGGTGCCATGGGCAGTGCCCTCGTCTGTCTAGCAGGTGGGATGACAGCKTTGCATCCTCAGGCTCTCAGTGGGCGAGATGAGACCCTGCGTCAGCTGGCCCTGGCCACACCCCACCTGGGCCACCACCCTGTCTGCCAGAGACACAGGTCCTGGCAACCTCTGGGACAGYGGGGGAAGCTGGGGAATGAGGGGAGGGGTCACTGTTGGGATGTGGGTGTGCGAGTAGCTGCTGCCGGTCTGGGTGAGCAGGGGGTCCCGTTTTCAGGGACAAAGTTGGTCTAGAAGTAGATGTGAGGAWTCGGAGTACAGAAATAAACCTCCCTTACACAGGAAGCCGGCTCTGCACCCGCCTGCCAGACACTCGGAGAGGAAGGAGCAGTCTTTTCCACAGCTGGCAGCGGGCAGCCCGCTGTCCACACGCAGGGGAACGGAGCGGATCCTGCTCACACGGCGTGCAAAGGTCACGTCAGAAGGGATCGGAGCCCGGGATGTTGAGGGTGAACTCTACTAAACTTTTAGGAAAAACACAAACAAAGGGTGAATCTTTACAAGCTTGGGCCTGGCCAGGGATTCTCAATGTGACACCAAAAACAAGAGCGGAGATGGGACTCGTGGTGACTGGCATCGTCTGTGCCTGCAGCCATCCCACCAGCGAGGTCAGGAAAGTCCACACAGACGCCCATTAACCACAGTCACCAAGGGTGGAGCCAACCCAAACAGCACCAGTGCACGAGTGGGTAACAGAAGGTGGCCTGTCCACTCATGGGCAGCCCCCAGCCATGCTGCAATGTGGTGGACCTTGGCAACAGGGCGCTGAGAAAAAGGAGCCAGAGCCCAGGGCCGCATGTGATTCTCTGGACGTGAGATGCCAGGACAGGCCATTCCMCAGACAGGTGGGTCGAGGCTGTGTGCCGGGGTGCAGGGTGGGGAGTGAGAGGCAGGGCCTTCAGGGCTGGTTCACAGCCGATGAAGAGGCCC